TACAAATTGTTTTCAAAATAGTATAACATCAGAGAATCCCAGAAATCATGACATAAAATGTAAGGAGGTGCACGATCAAGCGTTTGCCTTCTCGTCAGAACTCAAATGCATCAAATGCTATACAATGTCCCAAATACCTAAGCGCAGCCACATTTTTGTATACTATTAAAACTCATTCTTCCTCTAGCATCGAGTTTTTGTTTGAAAAAAAATCATAACGAGTCTCTAAAGAATTACTAATACGTAAAAACATATCCTTATTTACATGGAAACGACGTTCGAGCGAGTTATCATTGTAAAGACAATTATCGGCAGAGTAATCACGTACCAATAAGTCGTGTATGGCTTGACGACCGCTCTCGAACGCACAACATTGGTCATCCGAAGTACCTAAAATAAAATCCACAACTGTAAGCCTGAAGCTTAGTGAGTTTCCCCAAAATACCAACGCCATACAACAGAACAATATCATAAACAAAGAGTATGCATATAGAGTCTTCAGTATAACAGGACCGCCTCACCGGGCCTTCAGTCTATCTGGCCCACTCTTAGAACATTCAGTATGTCTGGACCGCCTCACCGAGCCTTCAGCTTGTCTGGATAGTTCTCCGACCCTTCGGCCTAACTGGTACGCCCTGATAGGCCTTTAGTCTATCCGGGTCGCCTTGGGTCTGTTGGCTTAGAGCACAAATCAGGAATGCCTCAACCCACCCGTAATCACACCATAATCACATAGATATCAAAAGCTAGCTAGCACATACAATAATCATACAGGCCTAACAGATCATCAATCATAGCATCATCCTATACACTAGGATACAGATCTAACAGATCACTACACATAGCATCATATGATAACTAGGATAACAATCCAAAAGGGTCGGCCTTGGTGCCTTCGACCCTGTGAGTATAGTGAGGAAAACTCACCTCACAACTAGTACTGACTTACAAGATCCAACTCTCGAATCACAGCTCCGAAAATCAACCGCCTACAGCCACCATGTGACTAACACCATCAAAATCCCGAATTCCCAAAAATACCCTTAAAGTCAAACTTGGTCGACCATGGTCAAAGTCAAAGTCAACAGTCTAACCCAACTCGTCGAGTGCATCTACTAACTCATCGAGTTCCTTCAGAATTCAGAAAACCACGAAAACTCGAGTCAACTCGCTAAGTCGTCAAGACAACTCGTCGATTTCATACACTGTCCAGAAGATCGAGGAAACCCGGGCCAACTCGCCGAGTTGGCAGAGCAACTCGTCGAGTTTTCCTTGTCTTAACTCATTCAGCCACCTCTCAAGCAAGTCTAATACTCCGAACTATAGATCTGGTCCCCTAGAACTGTGATACCACGTAAAATTGCTAACTTTACGTCCATGCACGACATCAAAGGGGCTAAAACACTCAATAATAGCTTAATAAGGGGTTTAGGGCATGAAGGAGGGCCAATACTTGATAAAGCCAAGAACTTTAGGCTCGAAGATCCACAAAACATCCAGATCTGAAGTGGCAACTTCAAACAATGCATCATTCCAAGAATGACTCGAATATGGACCAAGAATAACAATATCTTTCCATAGAAGTAGATCTAAGAAATAAGAGGCCAAGGTATCGCCTTTATACCTCAAAATGGTTGCCACAACAGAGTAAACATCGGATCTACAACCTCTCCCTTCATCCAACTTCTTCAAGCTTCTTGTTCCTTCCAAAAGAGCACCAAAAATCACTCTCCAAGCTCACACACACACACACAATGAGGGCAAAAACACGAACTAGGATTTTCTCTGGACAAGGAGGCGATAATGGAGGCCAATAATGAGAGTTAAGGCCTTTAAATAGGGTGCAAACCCTAGAAATTAGGGTTTTCATGTTCAGCCTTCAACTAGTCAAGTTGGAGCCTTCCAACTCATCGAGTAGATATTGAAAGATACGCGGGCATTAAATACTCTACACGATGAGTTGGAGCCTTCCAACTCGTCGATTTGCCCTGAAAATATAGATAATAAGCTTCCTGAAGATTGGGTGTTACAGTACGCTGCGCTTACTGGGTCAACCTCTTGTATCTGGTCAAGGCCAGCGTACGCCAGTCGTACATGATGAGCACGCCGCGCGTACGCATATAGTGGAGCAAAAGTGGTTTTTGGGCTATAGGATATTGGGCATGGAATTATTGGGCCTCAAGCCCACCTGTGGTAGTGGTAGGGAGTGAAATAGACCCCGTAACCTATTGAAATAGACCGGAGGGTAGGTCGGGCACCCAGATATGCCTGGCAGGGTAAGTCGAGCACCCAGATATGCCTGACAGGGTAGGTCGAGCACCCAGATATGCTCGGAAGGGTAGGTCGGGCACCCATATATGCCTGACAGTATGTTGGTGTTGTATGTGGTATGGTGGGAGAAACTCACTAAGCTTTGTGCTTACTGTTTCAGTTTGTGTTTTGGGTACTTCCAGCTTGAAGGAGAAGGGGCTGACTTGATCGCGTCGCATCACACTATGATTTTCTGCAATAGAGATTTTGGGACTTATGCTATGATAATGTTTTTTCTACGAATTGTCTTGATTATACACTATAACTATCTTGGTTCTCATGGTTTTGGAATCAATGATGTTTTGTGTTTATGAATTTGGTAAACTTAAAAATGATGATTTTGGGTCGTATTTTTCGAGATGTTACAAAAATGACGTAATAACCCTATTATATATTTCGATTTTACCTATTCAATCATTTAACTTATTTTCGTGCTTTATGAGGGAATAAACTCTGAAGTGATTTGTGTTTTTAGTCCCCTTAACCTATATTAGCCAATAACATATGCCACTTAAGCATTTTTTCTATTTAAAAGTCAAACACTTTGACCATTTTTCTATTTTTCTAAAGGGACGTCTCCTTATTAGCTTCGAAGCTTGCATTTTGTCTTCTGAGAAAGACAAATCAACCATGGCGCCCTATAAGTATTTCTCATAAGCAGGAAGGTCAAAATAGTCATGGCCACACATTGCCATTAATATCACTTTTGATTCACCGCTCTCTTTGCAATGAAGGGCTTTTCGTATTGATGCAACTATGGCATGTGTAGGCTCCGGTGCTAGTATCAGTCCTTTCGATCAAGCAAATTGTATGGCCCCTAAACTAGTTCTATTCATCCGAGTCAACACATTAGGGCTCAAAATAACAGAATTTATAGACGAAAGATTACAAAATTGGAAGTAATTATACCTCGAAAGCACTCAATCTGTGGAATCGTGATTACTTCCATGAAACCTAATTGATAGATGTGTGAGATCAGTGGCGCCATTCCATGATACCTAAACCCTCCTGCAAAATTCGAGAAATTTATGGTTGAATTTAACCACAAAGAGCATCGCTCTTAATTATTATATCAAGAAATCAGAAATAGTTATACCAGAATGAATGGGGTCAGGGATGAAATCATGACCGAGTGTATGCCTCTTCATCAATGTAGTCAATTGAGCAGTATCTCCAAAATTATAAACATAAACACCTTTGGTCAATGAAGCTCAAGCTGTAGGCTCGACAACTCTTATAACAGGGTTGATTTTTCCATTGAGTTTTCCCGGATAAAAGGAAAACAGAGCCCTGCAAAATTCGACCCACCATCTGTACAACCAATGATGACGTTAGGAGTCTCCCCTAAACCCTCCATCTGCTTAATACATTCTTCCCCAATAATAGTATGATGTAACAAAACATGATTCAAAACACTTCCTAAGCATTACATGGTATCTACGTTAAGACCTGCAACTTCCACAACCTCGGAAATGGCAATTCCCAAGCTTTCCATGTTTTCAATGAACCTATTAAATGAGGTGGCAAGGAAGTTATCGGCTGACCCCTTCATTTCATCAAAAAGGACCAGATAGACCCGACAAAAATAAGTTTGTTCCCTTAAAAGCCACGAAAAAAACTTTAGGGACTGAAAAGGTAAAATTAAAATACATAATAGGGACGTTGCACCATTTTCCCATTTGTCCGATCATTACTTATTCATAATATCATAATCATGTACGTAAAAATAAGATATAAAGTTTCACGATTTTGAATTATCTCATTTTTGTAACAAATAAGAAAATTTATGTCGCAATGTTGATAAATTATGTCGGCATTAACTAACATTTGTTAGTTAACACGAGATAAGTAACCTATCATCAACTAAAGATTTGGGTTAACCTTGTTGTTATTGCTTTATAATTTTCCCATTTTTATTAGTATGAACTGTAGAATGTAATAGCTTCACCTTTAGCATGCATTAAAATTTAAAATCAATTTTATGGATATTTGATATTGAATAACCACGATAAACAATCAACGGTGATAAAGCATTGAGTAAAATATTCTATTTGGACATTTTTATTTTAAAACATTTTTTGTATTGCTAAGTGTTTCGTAAAGCCTAGCTGCCTAGCATTCACAAAGGTTAGAGATAAAATAAGTGTAGGAATAATGAATTTTACATAAAAAAAAAACCAGTTATGCCCAAAGTTGATTTTTTTTTGCCATAGATGCTTCACATTTGTCCCTCCGGTTTCATTCTAATGTTTTTCACCGGTTCCCATTTACCAACCAATTACATCCCTTTTTGCAACTAGTAACCTTGTTAAGGGCGCTTTCCTTCGTTTCTCCTCCGTTAACGAAGTACACTCTGTCAACATTGAGACACACACCCTGCCACCCTCCCATGCTACTACTTCTTCAGACGTAGGTAATATGAACTCAAACGTTAAACTCCATCCGGTGAAGCATTGTCATTGTCTGAAGCACTCCATCTGGTGAAGCATTGTCATTGTCTGAAGCTACGGTTTGTTCAAGAGGTAAGAATTACGATCTGATCATGATTTTGATGAGAAATCACCTTTTTTAATTGCTTACTTTTTGTGATAATGGTTTCGATTGTCCAGGGGTTAGAAATGGGTTCTTCAGACGATGGTTACGACAACCCATTTGGTGGAATTTACTAGCCATTTCCTGCGTTAAATGGGATGGATTTTGAGCTGCACGGGATTTACATGGATCATGAACCAGGGCAGGAATTTGTATCAATGCTAGATAAATGTAAGGATCATTTTCTTAACATTATACTTTGTGATGTGAACATCAGAAATGCAAGTATGACTGATGAGGTGAAAGATCGAGTGGACCATGGTAATGATTTGCATGAGGAGGCAGATGAAGTAATGACAAACAACTACATAATACATGATCCAAACATTAGGTGGGATAAGATGGAACCTAAGTTGGGGGATATGTTTGAATCACCTGCACAACTGAAATTTTGTGTGAAAAACTATGCAGTAAATGGATGGTACCAGATATACTTTTAAAAGAGTGACAATAGAAGAATTGTTGCAAGATGTGGTAAGAGACATGGAGATAATAAATGCCCTTTTAGAATTTATGCAGCTTGGACGTACAATGAAAGAACCTTACAACTTAAGGTAATAAATTTTGAGCATCTTTGTTCTAGAGTGTTTAAATTTGGGTCTATTGTTACCCCAGAATGGATTGGAAGACACTATGTTACTGAGATAACAAATAAGCCCAAAGTTAAACTTAGGGAGATGATTAGTGACATCAAACAAAGGTATAGATGTGTGGTATCTATATGACATGTTAGAAGGGAAAAACAGTGGGCAAAAGAACTGATTGGGGGTAAATTAAATGAACACTATGCAAAAATTTGGGATTATGCCCAAGAGTAGTTAAGATTAAACCTTGGGTCTACATGCAAAGTTGGTGTTACTAACAATCCAGATGAGAATAATTATTTTAAAAGGTTTTACATTTGTTTCAAATCTTTAAGTGTTTGCTGGAAAATAGGGTGTATGAAGGTAATAAGGTTGGATGGGTGCTTCCTAAAGGGTCAGGTAAAAAGTGAATTACTTACAGCCATAGGTAGAGATGCTAATAACCAAGTGTTCCCAATATCTTGGGCCGTTGTGTGGAAAACAAGAATAATTGGACTTGGTTTCTAGAGCTTCTGAAGGATGATCTTGACCTTGGTGCCGGTGTAGATTTGGTTGTTCTTTCTGATCAACATACAGTAAGTTCCCTTATAATCATAGTGTATTTCAATTTGGTAATTTCAATATGGTTATAAATGCTAACATAATGTGTTTGTTCACAGGGTTTGCTTGAATCTGTTAAGGTTATTTTTCCACATGTGGAGCACAGACAATGTGCTAGACACATTTATGCAAATTTTAATAAAGCTTTCTCAGGATTGGAGTTGAAGAAATTGTTATGGGCTTGTGCAATGAGTTGTGTTGAATGTGACTTCTTGAGAAACATGGAAAAAGTAAAGACTCTAAACCCTAGTGCATATGAGTATCTAATGTCAAAAGAACGCAAAAACATGGTGCAGAGCTTACATGAGTGCAGGGTTTGCTTGTGAGGCAGTGGAGAATGATATTTCAGAGTGTTTCAACTCCATAATTGTAGAAGCTAGGAAAAAAACCTTAATTACGATGCTTGAGGATATAAGGATATACATCATGGACAAGTTTTCCTCTATGAATGATGAATGCAGTAAATGGAAAGTTAATATATGTCCAGAAATGATAAAGAAGATGAATCTTTTTTGGAAATAACTTTAGGTAAGACACAAAATAATTGTTTTTTTCTAAATATCATTATAATTGATATATAATGACTAATACATACTCTTTGTCTTCATGCAGGTTTTGGTTGGAATGCATAGCCTAGGAAATGTGTTTGAAGTGAGAAGAGCATATGCTAATTACAAGGTAGATTTGGAAGGTAGAGTTTGTTCTTGCAGATTATGGGATTTGTCTGGAATCCCACGTGTCCATGCCATAGCAGCCATTAATTATATCCATCAAACTTCAGAGGGATATATTAGTGAATACTTTTCAATGAATAAGTTCAAGGAATTCTACTCTACAAACATCAGTCCTATGAATTGGAGTAATATGTGGCCTCAAACTAGATACAACAAGTCTTTTCCACCTGTTGGTAGGAAAATGCTTGGTAGGCCTAGAATCAAGAGAAGGAGGCATGAAAGTGAGAAAGAGAGTAAGTTTAGTTCCACTTCAATGGTGAAACCCCCAAGGACAGTAAGATGTGATAATTGTCTTGACTATGGGCATAATAAAAAAGGCTGCAAGAATGAAAAAAAAAGATATCAATTCCTAAGCCACCAAAAAAGATTGGGAGGCCTAGGAAAAGTGATGTAGTTGGATTCAATCCACATGTTTCTGGATCCAATCAACATGCCAGTCAACCACCTGTAACATCAACTATACCCACTCAACCTAGTCAACTAGCAAGTCAACAAGGAAGTCAACACGCTACTAAGAAAGCTAGTCAACAAGATAGTGTACATGCTTCAAGTTCTAACATTGGCAAGAAAATAAGGAAATTGGGTTTAAGAGGCCTAAGTCTCAGAGTTGGTGGTATTACATCTATGGGTCGTCAGTTTAGTGAAGTAACTATTCCAGGTGTTAGAAGGAAGAATTTGGGTGTAAGAAGGCCAAATCTTAGGAAGTCAACAACCAAATTTCAGGATGTCAACAACCAAGTTCCAGCTGTTAATGATGATATTCCAAATGATGTTGCTCAAGCTCTTGTTGTTAATGATGTTACTTTGGTCAATGAGGTAATAGAAGAGGAAGTAGTTGAGGTGTCGGTGAAGGTTGCCCAAGAGCCAGTGTCAATGGTTAATGAGGTGATAGAAGTTAAGGTGCCAGAGCCAATGCCAATTGTTAATGAAGTTCCTTTGGTGAATGAGGCTGATGACATTATGGTGCTAAAATAGGAAGCAATTGATGTTCCGGTAAAGGTTACCCAAGATCTAAAAGAGAGTCTTGATGAAGTTAGAGATGAAATTGATCAAATTATTGGTTCTAGAAATGCATCAGACGCATCTGATATTCCATTAGTGAATGAAGGTGGTACAGAACCTGAGTTCACTGAAGGACATGCATCAGATGTTCTCCCAGACAAATTCAAGATAAGTGTAAAAGGAATAGCAAATTTACTTGAAGCAGGATATTCCATGGCTAAAATAGAAAGCATGGGGAGGTTGGAAATTGAACTTGATGACACTTCACCACTTGAGATGGTAATTTTTTAACCTTATAATTTTAAATGTATGTTTTTTTACCTTTATATAGGTTTGTTATTGCTTGCATCAGGACTTAAATGAGGAGGATCCTGATGTTGATGAAGGTGGAGGTGAATTTGTAAATGATGTTCTAAATGATGAAGGTGAAGGTGTTGAAAATCAAGATGATGGTGATGTGATTAAAGGTGAAGGTGAAGGTGTTAATGATAGGAATGAGGTTGATGATGATGTTCTAAACAATGAGGCTGATGATAATGGGAATGAGGCTCCTGATGAAGGCCATCTAATAGTGCCTAAGACGAGGAAAAGAAAGCCATCAGAGAGTATCACTAAACTGAAGCTTAAAAGACATTTTTTGATAAAGATGGGGGTGATTTCACATGTTCAAATGAAGTGAATTTGGAGTAGCTAGGTATGTATATGGGGGATTCATGTGGGGATGGTATACTTGGGCATTTGTATAGGAATCCCTTTTTGGTGCATTTTGTACATCTTAGTTTATACACCCACTAAGTGCACCTTTCATCCAGTTGTTCTCATGTACCTTTTGGTTTGCCTTTTTGGGATATATTTTAGGCAATTTGATACAAATGGATGGATGGTACATGTTAGTTGATCTTTTGTAATCTTTTTTAATGGTACATGAATATGATGTAATTAATCCCCGCATTATGGTTATAATATGTTTGTTATGGATCAATATGTTTGTTATGTTTATATTATGTTTTTTGATCCATACCATTTGCATATATATTATTTACCATTTGTAACTACATTTAGCCAATTTCAGCATTGTACTTTACCATGAGCATATTTTACCATTTTCAACAATATTCTTTGCATTGCATCATTTGAATTTCACAAATAATTTGCAACTAAAATCTTCAAACCAAAACAACAGTTACATAAGCATAAGCACTTTTACATAGCCAATCCAAAAGTTGATCCAGACATTCAAATGATTTACATCTTCAAAACAACTATTGTCAGCATTACAAAAATAAGAACTAAGAGCCCTACAATTATTTCTACCAAAGTCTTCAGATGTCCCTGCCCTTGCCCCTGCTCCTTGTGAGTTGGGTTGATAATCTGGCCATCTTCTTTATTGTACCATTTGAAAAAACCACAGTCCTCTCCTTCCACCTAGAAAAAACAACAATTGGGTTAAATTACATACCTATTTTTCAGGGTTTCTCAAGAAATTTAAAAATTATGGCAAATTGTTTACCTGGTAATTAGGGAACTCGTAAAACCACAGTCCTCTCCTTCTACCTTATACACATCTCCACAGTTACATCTAACTATTCTTTTCTTTCTCGATCTTACACCACCTTGGAAGCTCGATTTGGCAGAAGAAGTCGACATTTTACAGAGACAGAGGGTAGAAGACGGGGGAGACACTTTGGATCGATGTTAACAGAATACAGATGATGCTTGGGGGTTAAAGTTGGGGGATGTGTAACAACCGGCTATTTCGGGTCAACAAAAGTCAATTATGCCAACAAAAGTCAAATAGTTAAAACTTAAATCATGAAAATTCACTTTGCTTTTGAGGTTTTCGGTTTTGAGAATAAAAAATGTTGAGATTTCGGTTGTGATGGCCGAAATCACATGCTAACCGAAGTCACCATTTGTGGATCATTTAGGACCGAAATCTAATGCCTTGACCGAGAACCCACTAGACTGAAGACCTTGAGGTTCTCGGTTGGAGCTTGAACCGAAATCATGGGGATTTCAGTGGTACCTAAGCCGAGATCAATCGTTTAAGGCGGTGACACATTTCCCTATGTGATATAATCCACATACCAATGTAAACATCACATCATTCTTACACCTTATCTATATATATAACCGAAATCACCTCCCATTTCCTCATTTACACTCCAAAGTTTCTTCAATTTGCTCTCAAGAACCGAATTCAACTTCATACATCTTCAAGTTCATACGTTTATTCCCAAGAACACCTTCAAATCTTCATATTTTTCCCAGAAACACTTTCAAACTTCCCAAGAAAACTAGTTCTTCAATTGACTCTTAGGAATCTTTGTAAGTATTCCTTACATAATCTAGTGTTATATAACACTTTAATTGCTAGTTCATCTAATTTACACATTTTATTATGTGTTTAAAACTATTAGGATACGACTATCTTCACATGTTCTAACTTGAAGAACATTCCTATCACTTCATTATCCAACCAAGAACACACTCGAGGTGAGTTCATACCCCTACATTTTACACGATTTTCTATGTTTTAGGGGGGGAATACAAGTAAAACAAAAGAAAACTTGTGTTAAAAATACAATACGATTACACATATTTTTACTACCGTTTGTGCAAAAATACTAAAATACATGAAATACATTTATTTCCAAATTCGTGAACATATACATGCAAAGTTTTGCTAAAATTACAAAGCTATGAAAAACGAGTACAAATGCATTATGTTCACTAAAATAAACTATAATGAGTATAGTTTATAAGACTTTAACACTTTTTGTAACAAGTTGAACGAAAAGGGTATAATTATATAAACATACATATATAATTATTTCATTTCATTTTATTATCATGATAAATTTATAATAGCATACAAATGATTCATTATTTCAACGAAACGTTTATATAAACTATAATAGGTATAGTTTATGGAACATTCACACTATTTTACCCTTTGGGGACAAAGAAATAATTGTTTAAAAGTATAATTATTTTTACTTTAGGAAAACACTATAAAAGGATTATACATACATTTACAAGAAAATGAGTTTTCAATACACTAAACGTAAACCGTCAATACAACTTTGTGAGACATTCCTTCACCCTACTTACCAAAGTAAGTACTAAAGTTCCTGTATTATAACCAGAATCTCTCGTAAGAGAGCATGACACTTGTGTATAGATCTATACGGGACTGACAATCCCGCACCTAAACTGTTAGCTACAGTTGGACCGGCAGGTCTGGGGTGACAAATGTCGTACCATTCCGACGTCTGAAGAACGTCGTACAGGCCATCTAGGTCATTAGCATGGTTATAATAACTCACAAGGGGTATTAACAATACGTTTGGTTTACGAATACATACATACCTTCAAATGGTTTTATTTAAATAAAACTACATTACACTCTCTTCCAGTACAATACAATTTACATTTCTGGAAACATGCATTCAAATGGTTTTATAAAGATATAAAACTACATTATACTAATTCAGAGTACAACAATACTTATACATTTTCAGTCTTAGGGTTCCTAAGACTATAATTCACTTTAAAAGAAAATATTGGATTTTCTAGAAGAAAACACTATCATTTTCAAGGAACAATGACATATCTTTCTCATACAAAATGCTTATGAACTCACCAACTTAAATGTTGACACTTTTTCAAAACCACTTGTATTCTCAGAGAATCAGTAGACAAGTACCCACACAGGTTTTGTGAAGATGGAGTATAGCAGTGCTACATCTTATATTTTTGTCGTATGTTTTTGGAGTCAAACTAACAATGATTCGAACTCAATGTAAATATTAATTTATCAATATGATGATTGTAATGCTTTGATCTCTATTATTGATCAATTGTTATGATACTGTACATGACGTCATCCGCCCCCAGACGCATCTGCCGTTTTATCGGTTTGGGGGTGTGACAGGATGTAATCGGTTGGTAAAGGGGAACCGGTGAAAAACATTAAAATGAAACATGAGGGGCAAATGTGAGGCATCTGTGGCAAAAAAAAACGACATTGGGGATAATCGGTTTTTTTATGTAAAATCGAGGGCGTTTATTAGAAGAACCCAATGTTCTTATGAGAATATATGATTTTTTTACAAATTTATACATGTATGTTTTAAATTGTTAATAAATTGATAACTAAGAAATCGACTTTACTTATTGTATAAACCAGCACCAAACTAACAACAAATTGAAACATTTGTGCATAAAAAATCTCCTTTGGTGCATTTATATCATAATCATACTTCCCCCTCAATGAATATTTGGTTTAGATGGGTCATCGAATCCGAATATGACCTATTCGAGGTCGGAATTTAATGAAGAAGTCACGTACAATGTGTGATTAATGATTAAATAAAAAAATGAGGTTCTATAGCACAATTCCCCCATTTTAGTTGATTTTATTTAACAATTGACCAACGAAAATATTAATATTCAACGATTTATAGATAATTTTATTGTCTTTTTTTTCCAGAATTGCTAACCCACACACCGCTAATTTTATTCTTAAATCTATATTTTTTTGTCTACCATGAGACTTGAAGTCAACTACTTGGGGCATGGGCAATTTCTAATATACTTGATACTGTTGGGCTACAGTCAAACTTATTAATCAAACTGATTATTTATCCTTAAATAATTAAATAATTATAAGCAAATTTATATTATTAAACACAAAACAATAAAATTATTATGACTTAATATCATAATAATCATGTATCATTGAAAATCGAATACAAACATCATAGACGTATACACAAGACTCGAAAAATTCGATGTATCATAATAATCATGTATCATTGAACATCGAATACAAACATCATCGACGTATACACAAGACTCGAAAAATTCGATAAAAAATGAAATTTTTATACACTCAAATTTAACCCATTATATATTCAAATTTATTTTTGTATTCAAAACCCAAATTTTAAAATATTTGAATTAATTAAGTTCAACTTAATCAAATTCAAGTTATTATCTTCCAATAGAAACTCTATCCATTTACAATTATAAGGCTGCTCGGACTGGATTCATTAAAGGAGTCGCTACGGTCGCTAAGGGAGAATGAACAATGCCTCCTAGCCCCTACCGCTCGCTAGGGGGCTCTCTACGAGGTCCTCGCTACGCACATGGCGAGACGAGAGAGAAAGGCTTGCAACGATTTGATTGGCTATTGGGTTATAGATGAAGTTGTGATTGGTTACATTTTTTTTCTTTTTTTTTTCCAAAATAAAAATAACATTAGATGATACCACTCCTTACCTTTTTGCTATCATTTTTTCATCCTATGTGGCTTAAAAAAATCCTATGTGGCAAGATGCTAGGAATGTTACCACTCCCTTTAGCCTAATCAACTTACCTAAAACGGTAAGATTGTTTATGATGCATGAGTTATGCATGCAGAGTGCATCATTTTCTTTTTAAATTTACAAGATATATAACCAGAACCTTAGCCATAATATATAGTTAATATTTTATAAATCATATAATTATATAGATATTGTGTATAATTTTTGGTTGCACGTGTGGTTAGAGGCATATAGAATGAGGTGTGGGGAAAGCAATTGATTCTTGAACCTAAAACATTGATAAAGTAAGTTGCTTTGTAAGGTAATAATTGAAGGTATAGCCATGGGATTACCCTCTTGTCACCTT